TCGTGCTGGCTTGGGAGCCTCTTGTCACATGCGGTGGCACCAGGCACCACATGAAGGCACTATGAAGCGCGACTGTATCTGGAATCTAGAAGCTGCAATCCCAACATAGGTAGTGTATCATAGACACGACACCAAGACTTCGTTTATTTCGGTTCCTGCATGCCATGGCCCTGTGAGCGGTTTAACCAGGGTCAAACCTTGATCCACCACTAGTCGTCCAGTGAAGTGATGTGTGGGTGTGTGTGTGTGTGCGCGCATCACGGTATGAGCTGCTAGCATCAGTTCTGCCAGAGGCCGTACGATGTCGCTGGTTTAGATGTTGCCGCTTGCACAGGAATGCATCCATGGACTGGGATTCGGACCTGCAGCGATCACTCAAGGTTTAAGAGTGCGAAGTAACATAGATATGCACCCAAACTAGAAGGAGAGTGCAGCCGTCACGAACCGAAACTAGAAGGAGAGTGCAGCCGTCACGAACCGAGTCTAGTCTATTCTTGCATCCCCACAACAAGTTTCAGGGGAGTTCTCCTGTGCCTTCAAAGCTAAATGCTGACGCCAGGTTCACGAACCTGCCCTAGCTTGCATCAATGCTCAGAACCCTCTTAAAGAAGTCTTACTGTGCATTCGGATGATGAGGCCTTTCAGTACTAGTGGCGAGCTTCCGATACGTGCTTGACAGACCATGTCCGCCTTGTGTTGCAAGCCTTGCCCTCGACCGTAAGCCCGCTATGATGTGAGGATCCACAGCTCAGGCATCCTAAGAAGGAATGGAGAGCCCGCCTCCACCACCGAAGCTGCCTATCGCAGCCTGCGCTGTCCAAAAAGAAAAGTGAAACCCCAAAGCTTCGAATCTTGGTCTTGGGAGATGCTTCACTACTTAGACCACAAAACCCCCCCGCCCCACCCCCCGCCCTTGAACTGTTCAGAATTTTCAGAACTTATTGCCCAAGGAAAGACCCCACCACCCCTGAATTGGTCTAGGCAACCCGGAAGTCCGTGTTACGGGGGTTTAGGGGGTTTAGGGTTTAGGGGTTTAGGGTTTAGAGTACCTGTGAGAGAGAGAGAGGGTTTAGAGTTTAGGGTTTAGGGTTTCTTAGTCCGTGCTGAAAGGGTTCGGGTTTAGGGTTCTGATGCCCTGCGCCTGACTTTTCCGTGATCGGAAGCCTTCATGGAATCGAGCTCCTCGGACTTCGGGTTGCTACTTGGGCCTTGAACGGGGCGGTGGGGAATGGAGGAGACGGTATTCTAAGCAGTCTATCTACGGATCGGAAGAAGAGCGATGGCATAAACATGAAACTCGAGCCCGGAGCATCCATGCGAGATGGGAAGGGGTCCTTCAAAGTAAGAGCCATAGCCCAAGAGTGCCCGCAATGATAACGGCCATGCTCAGAATTATCAAAATGATAGCAGGGGTGGTGTAGTAATAGACAACCGCCGTAAAATACGCATAGCCGAAGCCCGAAGTTAGGAGCTGAGATCCCGCGGACACTCGAACTTGGGAGTTCAACACCTGGAGCAACGGCTTAGGGTTTAGGGTTTAGCACAAATGGCAAGTAGTAATAACGGTATTAATGGCAGCAACCAAACCATTGATGATTGCAATATAGTCCATATCAGTATTAATAAATAGAATCAAATCTGTGACAATAGCAATATGGGAGGGCCAAGTTATATAAGCCAAACTCGCTCTCCAGCGCAACCTCGACTCGATGCAGATGCGCGCAGGAGACCGAAGAGTGTTCAGAAGCGATCCGAGATAACGGAGAAAATTATCGGGGCTGTCAACAGATTACCAGGACCGGAGTGTTGGCCGTTTTTGAGTCTCTGGCATTCAGGGAAATAGAATTTGGGGGGTTATGTCGGCTCAAAGACTTTCGTTTGTTAGAGGGTCTCGGGTGCTCCTGCCGGGCCGTTGAACTTTGGAGTTTGCAGTGACAGGGTGCGGGTAAACTCCAGCTTCTTTATGGGATCCGCTCCCTCGAGGGCATGTCAGGCCGGACACCCTAAACCCTAAAGCCCTAACCCTAAACCGGGAGAGAAAACAAAGGCCTAAAGACGGTTGGGGGAAAAGGCCGCGTCTTTCCACCTATGTGCTTGCACGGGCTGCAGGAGTGGCAATACCTGCCAGAGATGGGATACCAACAGCCCCCATCCGACTGCACCTTACAGCCCGCATCCTGGCGGCAGTTCGGTGCTTTCGATGTTTCGACCGCACAATGAAGCGGTTCTGATGATGATGATGATGGTGCCCATGATCATGATGATGATGATGATGACCATGATGATGATGATGACGACGACGATGGTGATGATGATGATACGTTGATGAATACCTTGGGGCCTTTTCCGGCTTCCATGAGGGCGATCAACATGCAAGTCGCGGCAACAAGTTTCAGACATTATGTACCGTCTTGCCTGGAGTTGCGGGAACGCGAGTGGCGAGGCTCATCGGTAAGACTTTCGATGCAGTTGCAATTGCTTCTGCTTTTCTGACTGTGAGCACGCAGAACGGGTCCGACAGGACCCAACAAGCAGGTGCTGTTGAGAGCCTGATTTACCAGTGCAGGATAGGAGCACCCCAGGTCCAACTATCCTGCTGCGGGCCTGGACGAGAACTACTGCCGCAATCCAGGTCCTGCGTCTCTTTCTAGATTCTACAGTTGGCAGGTGCAAGCATACCGGAAACATCCGGAAACGCCCAATTAGGACACACTTATCATATGAGGACACGTAGAATCACCAATGATGAGGAAACTACGCCTTATTCCACCCAACCCCCCCCCGGTAGTGTTACTTAGCTGAAAGGGACATAGTGCGATCGATTGGAGGAGGCATCACACAAATCTGAACTGCATTTTCGCCGGGGGCTCTTGAATGGCTGCTTCTTCGAAAGTGGTTCGACTCTAGAGTCAAGAGGCTGTCTTAGTCTAGGTCGAGGATTTTAGGGTTTAGGGGTTTAGGGTTCAGGGTGACCTTTAACCTTATTGGGTATAGGTAACCCTACCACATCTGCAAAGGTCAGCTTTTGCAACTTATGGGGCTAGGGTACTCTTTTCCCTGAATAGTTCAGGTGGTGTGAGGGACACGAGCCACGGCTGCAATCGATCCGGCAGAGACGAAGCCACGGAGAGCATATTCTGCTCCGTTATGATGATTATACCATTTAGTTTCATATTCTAGTATCTTTTTTTATCTATATAAATGTACTATACTTTAATACTATAAAGGAGGTGGTCGAGGCTACCGGGTCAGGTTCGAAGTTTCCTGGGTCGCTGTAGGCCCGACAATCCTAAAGTAAAGCCTAAACCCCAAACAGGGGCCTACGTGATTCGATTCAGTCGAAAGGGGCGGCCCGAGCCGACGCTGTAGGATCTTGAGTATGTTAGCAGGTGTGTACGCAGAGAAGCGAGCAAGTAAACCCACCGATCGGGCTAAACCCTAAACCCTAGACAACTCAACCCTACAATGCAGGCTCGTCCTTGCTACGTAGGAGGGGAAAAAACCCTAAACCCTTAACTGCATGGAGCCTACGTCCTACGTCTGTCTGGGAGGGCTGGCTGTGTGTGTTCGGGCTGACTTTGGCAGCCTGAGACTGCTCCAAGCTTAGTGCACACCCCTGGCTATTTTGACCTCGAGCCGCTTCACAGCATGTATGTATGTATGTATGTATGTATGTATGTGTATATATATACATGCATGCATACCAAGGCCCAAAAGTCAAAGCTTCAATCGCAAACCCTCGTAGGGTTTGGGGGTTTAGACAGGGACCCTTAAAACGATCTTTGGGGTTGCAGCCGCTGTTGAAGTGCACTCTCGGATGAGATCTAGGATCTGGTGCTACACCACATCTACCGACACGGAATGGGAGTACTGCAACACGCTGCCTCTGTGACCGGGCAGCACTTCTCAAAGCGGCAGGCGCATGTGCATGCATGTGCAACCACTATCTGAAGCTTCATGTCGCCACTGTAAGGCAGTAGTCGAAAGCAGCCCGATAGAACTTTGGATCTTGATCTTTCAACACAAAACCTCGGTTACCTCTGCTTACCATACTTTGGACCCTGGATGTTAACCCATTGAAGATCTTGTCATGCTGCCTCAGCGACATCAAGCAACATTACGCAGAGCAGGATCTCCGGCCATCCCGCTTCGGCATGCCGAGAACTCTACACCCGAGTTGAGGTGGATCCAGATCAGTGGACCATGCACTGCGGAGGCTTCCTGCATCCGCAGTCGCAGGCTTACGATTCATGGTTTGGGCCGAGAGCTGCATCTTGAAGATGTAGTTGCCGAGAATCAACCCCTGAACCCTAAGTCATAAACCCATCAGAGCCTGCAGTTCCCACATTCTATCCCCAATCGAGCCCGAGGTCCCAACTATCCTTCCAACTACGGCAACAACGAGCAATGTGCCGCCTGGCGACATGGGCGGAGTGGGGGCTGGAGCTGGGTGAAGTAAGGCCAGGTCACCAGATCCATTTGGGACGCAAACTTGGTGCTACGGACCTTTTCCTTCTTCTACTGTACCATCTCAAACCATGACACCGCTGCTGCTTTGACCCTGCCCTACCTGCGACAGATCACAGGGGCTTGGAGCACTGCGAGTTTCGAGATCCTCGATACGAGTGTAAGCAGCAGAGCTTCAGCTTCATCTACCTTGCTCCCGAACTACACCCCAAATCCCAACTAGCCATAAATCCGGGTCCTAACCGCTAAAAATGCCCTGAGCCCGAACACACGGCCTTCTTCTCATGGGCCGCCACTTTAGCCTGAAATCCTGGAGCTTACAGGGTGGGTCGATGGCAGTCTCAGGAATTCGAAGTTGGTCTCCGCGGACACGGTGGTGTGCTGGAAGTCGTTCGCTTCGAAACTGAATCTCGGTCGGCTTGGTGCGAAATTGTGTGCGGAAGGCAGATTTGATTTCTGGGCTGCGCAGGCATGATTTCTGTCCTCTGTGGAGAAACTTCAGTGCCCAGGAGCGGGAGTACGATTTCTTCACGATGAACGGGCGCTCCTGGAGCGGGTCGTCAGGCACGATGCATGTATCAACGGCTATTTAACAGATACACCAAGAAATGGAGATTTGAGCATGCGCTTTGAAGCTTTAAGGCCCAAGTCGGAAAATGGCTAGAGCTCAAGCTCGAGCCGGTTGCCATTTAATTCGTACATCGGCCCTTTTTGCCCCTCAAGAACAAAGCGTCGGTGCTTGATCGCCGACAATACCTCAACTTTCCAAACTATACCCCAACCTGACGGAGCCTGTCGTGGGCGGCCTGCAAGCACGAAGGATGTGCTCACTATCGGCGATGAGGAACGCAAGCGTCGATAAGGAACACATTTTCATTTTGCACGATGTGATGCCAGGCGACGAACTTCACCAAACTGTTTGTGAATGGGGCCGGCATCCGGGCCGACATCCTGCGCCGCACGTGATACCAGGGAACACAAGCTGGCGAGAGAGATTTTTTCGATTACGAGCATCCCCTCGATAGGCAGGAACTGGCACCAGCCCTCGCATTGTCGAATGCTCTGAGCTGCATGTGCGCGTCATACAGCTCAGAGCATTCTTGGTGATTCTGATGGTCGGTGATCATGCCACAATCTGTTCGGTACCTACCGGCTTGGGGCTGGCACGAAGGTGAGCATGCAAAGCTGAAGCTTTATGGGGGCCGTGGGTGAACGGTTGATGGTTGACAGTGCCCCCAAGCCACAAACCTTATACCCGAAATCTTCTCTGCACCTCGACCGCCAATCCCAAAGCACTCCTTTTTGCTGTCCCGGGTGTGTTGTCTCGCTGCATGGAGCACCACCCTAGCACCCTAAGGTAACTCTTCGGATATGGTGTCGCACAAACCCTACTGTCTCGAAAGTAATAACCATAAGAACTACACTAACAGCAGCAACATTATCATAATAGTGATGATAGCCACAATACTAATACCATTACAACGACGACGACGACGACTAC